GTTAGACAAAGAAAAGGAAACTCCCTCTCTCCCCCGCAGTGCTTGTAACAAGTATCCTGGTTCGTCGGTGGGACAGGGAAGTTGTCCTGGCTGAACGTCGGCAGTGGTACAGAATTTATGGCGAGGATGAAGTAGTCCACAATAGGAGCACAACCAATGCCAACACTCACTCTAAAGGTGGCTGTCAACCTCGCATTTGGTACAGAAGCAGAGGCAACAGGGCATGGTGCCAGAAGGAGGAGTGATGATAGAGAATTTGTGTTGTTCAAGTCATTCCTCCAGGTTGGCAGCTCTAAGCCGAGCTTGACATTGGTCTATTTCTGCTTGTGCGTGTATGAGTTCTGCCCCTACGGATCGTCGTGCGGCAAGTAGGAGGTCTATCTTGGCGTCAACAGCCCTGAATCAATTGACTTCATCAGTAACGCCAGGATCCTTGATGTCTTGTAGCGACCCCCAAAGACTTTCCAGTAGATTATCGTCCCATGTCAGCAGATATCCCAAGTGTCCTCCTCCCATTCTTTGTCCGAAGTGTTCCAATTCCTGACAGGTTTTGCGGTACGAAGTACATCTGCTGCAGTCGTTGAAACTTGTCTTAGTCCAAATGCAGGGTTACCGTCAATAGGAATGCCCATAGGAGGTCGAGTGATGGTGGTAGCGTAGGCTCTGGGGAAATACAGTAATACGTGTTCTGAGGGGTCGACATCTTGGACTGGGGTGGAGGTGTCAAAGGGGATGGATCGCCAATACCGGGTGACATCATTAGAGGGTCATTAGATTATGTCGTCGCTGTAGACTACAAATTCCTGAGGATCGCTGCTGTGTCCTTCTGATGCAGTAATGTACTCGCTGATATGAGCTAATAGCTGTAGATTGGGAGTGTGATCAAGGCTACCATTATCAGAGGCATCAGAGGCGAGAGGTGGCATACTGGGTGAGTCAGTGGATGCAGCAAGGGGACTACCAGGATTGGGAGAAGACGAGATATTCATAGGCAACAAGGATGGAAAAACCTGTGCAGGGGCAACATGGTAAGATCCAGTGGTCGCTTCTGAGATGAGAAGGGTCTCCAGGGGTCCGGGGAACTGGTGCAAGACTACGGCATCACTATTGGAAGAGTCCATGGGTCTGGGAATGAGGAAGGGACGGAAAGTGATGTTTGGCAGGAGGGGTGTGAACAGGTAACAGAAACCTCCTTCATCGAGGAATTCTAGTGAAGAGTTGTTGGATTCTTGCTGGGAAGGGAAGCTTAGTATAGGCCGGATAGGAACCAGCATTTCTATTATCCCAGCCATGAAACACTCCTCTAAGATCTGGAAGTGGGAAGGATGAGGGGTTGGCGCTCTTTGGGGACCAGTCGCTGGAGAATTGTTGCACCTAGGAGCCAAAGGGCGACGGCGCAGGTCCAGATTAGAAGTCTCATTGTTATTCCTGGCATGGTTGTTGTGCTCAGCAGGCATGAGAGAAGACCAAAAGGAAGGATTTCTTGAAAAAACTAAACCCAGAATACAAAAGAAACCGACTACTATGGACAATGATAACCCCCAGACACTAATCTTGATGCTCCCAAATATACTCAAAGTAAACCTGTGTGGGATTATTTGAGTCGCAGTTAGCGGCAATTACTGGGAGATTGGTTGTCGTATGGGGGAGGGGTCGCTGGGCAGTGGTGGCAATATTGAACGCCCACTGGTGTTCTCTCTCTAGGTACTGAAGGGTGAGATGAAGGGTGAGGGGGACAATGAGGGCGAGGGCAAGGGTGGTGAGGAGAGTGATGAGGAAGGAGCCCAGGAGGGGTAGGAGGAGGAGTTGGGGGTGCTTGACAATGATGGCGAGGGTGGTGGTGGTGACGGGGGAGAGTTGGTTCACCACTAAATAAGTCAGTAAACGGTGTGGGTATGAGTGGGTCAGGAGAGTTTACTTGTACTCCTGTGGGCCACTCGGGGGTTTGG